AACTATAACACTTCAAGCTAACAGAAATCTTTTACTAAGTCAGCATGTTACTTGTACTTTAGTTCAGGGAAATTTCTTCTTGAATGAAGGTAGTCATTCATTTCTTAAACAACTAATAAGGTTAACTGTTTTTTTTTCTTTACACCCCAGGCACAAATCAAACAAACTTGTGTGGAATACTGGCAGTCATCCCCTCACAGCATCAATGTGAATCAAACACACAGGGCTGCTGTGTAACTATTTGTTTAACATTTTAAATTACAGTTTAATGGGAAAAAATCTGATTAAAGACGGAAGAATAATTAAATTTAAAAACATAAATTTGTGAACTTATCAACTTTGTGAATTTTAAGTTTGACTAGGTGTTTAGGGAGGTCACTGATAAAAGGTCCACACAAAAAAATGGGAGGTGGGGGAGAGGTGCATTCAAATGCGGGCAAAGGGGTGACAAGGGTGGGATAGGGTGTAAGCTAACATTTTGTATATCCCATCTCTTTAGACAATGTATCGCTCAGTCTTGTCACTAAGGAGACATTATCCTAAAACAACATGAATGAATTGAATGTCAACTATTCTTCGGTAACATTGGCATTATTTAAGAACGAAATCATGGCAGAAAGTACTGGCACCTCATCTCATTTTTTAACACTCATTTTTTTTTTTTGCACTGAACTGTTTTTGAGATTTTGTTACCAATTCAAAACGAAGTGGCTATTAGGTACCCGAGTACCCATTGTCGCCAATGACTATTCACACCCGAAAGTCTTAGTAATCGAAAAAAAAAACATGATCCAAGGAGAGGCTTAATAATCAACAAGTTTGCGGCTTTCTTTTATAAAAATGGAGGTTGGCAGCGTTTGTAACACCTATGCGTCTTTTGAATTGAATTATTTCTGTAAAGAACACAATGTGTGTTTCACTAAAAGATCGTCAGAGAAGATGAAAGATCCCAATTTGGAACACCTTAAATATGAATATATAATTCACTGTTGCAAACAAGGAGTTAAACGCAAGTCAAAGTCTTCAACGACAACAGGTGACAACAGGCCAAAGAAATTCACAAGCGTAAGTAATAAAGTAATAATAATAGGTTAACTTTAAATTTAGTTGGTCTTGTCATGTAATAATTCTTTCTCCAAGCCAATGATTATTACCACGGTAAATGTAGAGGACGAATGCCACTATTTTATCGATGGCCGCGACTAATATATCCCTAAATCGATCACTATGCCTAACCTGATCACTAAATTGACCCCTCAACCTAACCTGAACCCTAATTCACTGCAACTATAATAAAGAAGTAAATGACGCCATGGCATTTGTGCTCTACATTAACCCTTACCACTTTTGGCAATTCGTTGAGAAGTTTTATATTTTTCAGTTCTTTCAAATTGGGATGCAAGGCAAAGATAAAGCTTTTTGCCAAGAGAAATCTATCTCGGCTGGAAATTACCAAATCAATGCATGAAGTATCAAAAGAAGTAAGTGCATGTGCTGCGAAAAATATTTACATAATAATAATAAATAGCATATTCTTGTGGCAGGTTGTTGTCACCTACAGGTACTCTAGTACTAAAGAGTTGGAGATGGATGCATTTTAAAAGAATGTTTTTTACCATAAATCTAGGGTGCTCAGAAATGTTATCACTGAAAACTTTGGGTTAAGGTTAGGGTTACCACCCTTGCCCTTACCATAGAAAGGTTTTGAAAAAAATTAAGACAAATCTATTTAAATTTAACAGTATAATTTTTAATAAATTTAATAAATTCTAAATAGTCCAGAGTTTTATATCTTAATTTTGATTATTGTGACATATAATAAACTTAAAACATTTATCCCCAAGGTGAAGGTTAGTTATTTTTATGTACACCGCGGTGAGCCCAGCCCTAGGCTGGGGTACTGCGCTATATAAGACCAATTTTCCCTCTAAGGTTTGTTGGTTTGTGTGCAAAATCATACAGTTATGTGCAAAGTTTTACAGCGTCAATTTTTTTGTGTGCAAAATTTTACAGTCCAGAAACACAAACACACACTTACAGGGAAATTTGCTGTGTGGATACTCAAAACTGCTGCGCGGCGCCTGTGAGACGGCTGCGCGGCAGCGCAGCTTAAAGGGAACATTATATAAGACCACTAATAATAATGTTTTCAGGGCATATTTTTTTACATAATACTTATTATTGCAAAGTAACCTTTGTGTGTTTTTTTCCCAGGTGTGCCGCTTGTATCTGGAAAACCGCAAGCTGGAACGCTTCTGTTGATGTCCTGCACCATGATTCAGGCATCTGAGGCCCGGCAAGTGCTTGAACAACAGCATGATGTGGATTTGCTTCCCAGGGATATTTACAATATTAAGTCAAGAATAAATAAATCATCTTCTGATGCAACTGAAACTCAATCTATACTTCATTCTATATCACAAGCTGGTGGAAGTGTGTCCTATGGACTAACAGAAAGTGGGGAATTTAAGTATTTATCATACATGACTGATGATATGATTAGAATTATTGCCCAATATCCAGAGGTTTTATTAATGGATTTCACATATAAAACCAATAAATATTTATATCCACTTTTGACTGTAATGGTTATTGATGGAGAGGGCAGGGGCATTCCTGTTCTTCATGGTTTTGTAAAAAATGAAGATAAGGAATCTATTTCTCTTTGTTTGCAGCTTCTTCTGAAGAATTCTGATGCCAGTCTTTTCAAGTGCTTTGTGGTTGACAAAGACATGGCTGAAATCTCTGCTATAAATGATCTCTTTCCAAATGTACCTGTTAATCTATGTCATTTTCACATTAACCAGGCTGTGCACAGGTTTCTTTCGAAACATGTAGGTCCTGAGCATGTTAAGCCAATTCTTGAAGGATTTATGTCTCAAGTTTATACTGAGTCGTGTGATGAATTTTTAAAGTTGATGCAAGACATGAAAGATACTCTTCCTGATGTAGCTTTGGAGTATTTTGAGTCGAACTGGTGGAGTAAGGCCCATTTATGGGCAGCATCATCCAATGCTGATGTTTTAAGACTCCATGCGACAACAACAAATCACTTGGAGTCTTATCATGCCAAAATAAAAAAGAGTTTGACTCATTATCTTTCTTTTTCATCTGCTCTTCGTAACCTTATGTCTTTTGACAACTGCAAAATTACAGTATGTGATCGTTTAAGATTGCTTGCTGCAAACACAGCTCAGTATACGTCATCTGATAATGATGAAAGTGTAAATAAGATTGAAAGTGTTGCTACTTCCTTTGCTGCTGCTCTATTGCTCAATGAGCTCAAATTGTCACGATCTGTTCCGTACTCTGTTGTCCCTGGAGAGGCATAACTTTTTTCAGTAGCTTATAAGGAACATATTTTTAGCTCAACATCAGTTCAATGTAATTGTTCATTTGCTAAAAAGATGGCATTACCTTGCAGACGAAGACATTTACAGCTTGCAGAATTTTGTTCAGAGTTGATTCCATGCCGTTTTAGCAAATATATTGTTCCTAAAGTGGTTGCTTCTACTTCTAGGGGTTCAGTAACTTCTCAAATTGTATCTACTAGAAACAATAATTTTAAGACTCAAGAGGATCGGTTTAATCATGCTAAAAGAATTTGTATGGGCTTGGCAAATTTTTTGGCGATGCAAGGAGAACAAGATTTTGTAGAGAAAATATCCTTTCTTGAAACTACTAAAGTCTCTGGAAAAGTCCTGAAAATTGAGATGAAAATGAATCGGCGTCACAACTTGATGAAGGTGAACTACAAACGAGTTTCATTCAAAGTCAACTAATTGATTTTGTTGATATAAATGACATTCATTTTTCCCATGAGGAAACAGTTGCTGCAAATAATTTCGAAAAAATTGAAACTGAAAATAGTATTAGTTCCTTTGGGAAGGTTAACTTTGACAGAGTTCCCCCAAAGGGGCGACCGAAGGAAAAACAAAATTTTACCCTGAAAAGAAAAAGATAGCTGCCCCAACAATTTTCAACTACTTGTATAAAATAAATATGTGAATGTTTTTAATGTTCTGAAAATTATAAATTTTTGGTGTGTAAATAAATGGCTGCCGCTATTCAAACACGGGTCCAATAGACCAATGCTATTCGGATGTCATTTGTGGTAGTTTATTTTAGTTAATGTTCCTTTAGTTAAACTGAAGAATTAAGTTTACAAACATATAGTCCATTCAATTATCTTTCATTTGATACCAAATTTTGTCTTACCTTACAACCTAACAATAATTTTTTGGAATGTGTTCGTGATGTATGCATCCAATGTTGTTTCAGTGTCTTTTTCAGCTTTTATAGATATAGCATTTTCATTTTTTATTCCTGACATCAATTGATGAATCAGGAGGAATAGTTTTGGAACTACATAATTGAAACTTTGCATGCTTATTTATATTGAGATTCTTTACTTTATGAAGGCTGGTTTTTAAACAAATGTCTCATATAGGAAAAGTTTTCAGAATGTTTGTATTTATGTATTTTATTTATTAGGTTCGTGTGTTAATTATTTTTTAAAAATCTTTTCTGTCTTAGTTTTCTAATTTTTTTTTAAATCATGAAGGATTTATGTACATGGTGTATGCATCCTATATCGTTCATGCAGCCTCTAATTTAAAAAAGCACAATTTTATAATTTTTTATCATTTGTCTCAATTTTGCATTTTCCGGATTTTTAAGGAACGCCAAATGAATCGGGAGGAAAAGTATTCTAGCTACAGCCTTCAAACATTGCATGCTTCTTTTCATTGATATTCTTTACGAAGTTCAAGAGGCTTTTTTTTTATAGATATATCCAACTAGAAAGTTTTATAACATTTTTACATTTGCTACACCTGAAGAGTTCTAAAATATTAATGTGACCCCCACATACATGCCATTTGTAACACTTCCAATACTGCTGTGTAATAATCTTCTTTAAACTTTTTGTCAATGTTATTCTTAATGTGTATGCCAAGTTTCATTTACAATACAGTACAATAAATTACAATACAACAATGCAATATAAATTTGTCTTTATTCATTTTGCGTAAATTCAAAAGTGGTATTTAATGTTTAATTTTTTGCAATAAAAGTCACAACAAATTTAAAAAACAAACTTTATTGGATTTTTGTCTTTCTGTTTGTGTATGGTTTGTATGTACTGTATTTTTTTCAAGGGCTCTATTTATTTAGGTTATCAGTATTTTATTTTCAATGTGGCATGACTTAGTTGCCTTGAAACCAAACTCCCTTCACAGATCACATATATTTGCTCCCACTCAATCATTACTTCTGTACTTAAATGAAGAAATGATACGGTACAAACAATAGTTAACTGTACGGATACCAACAAGGAAGGTGAGAAAGTAAAAGGAGACAAATGGCAAAGTAGGGTAAAAACAAAAAGACTAGTCCTCCAAAAATAAGTCTCCTTCTCATACTTTATACAATGGCATCCTTTAACTTTAAGATGTTCATTGCAACTACCTTGTGAATTAGGTCAAGTCAAATGAGAAAGGTTGTTGAAAGGAGATTCAAGATATCAGGAAAAACAGTCATTGTCCGCATGTATGACTCCCAGTGCCAAGGAAAAGGTTTAAATTTGGTGGTTTTGTTCTGACTAAGCCAAGCTCTCTAGAGGAATATTGGAAATTAATTCATTATAAATGAAATTTTCATTATTTAGAATACCTAATTAATTCATAAAGTACTGTGTGATTAAATCTTTTAACTTAAACAATACACATAAATAATCTTAAATAAAGGATTTAATTTTAATAATTAAATTAATAAATTTTCATTATTTAGAATACCTAATTAATTCATAAAGTACTGTGTGATTAAATCTTTTAACTTAAACAATACACATAAATAATCTTAAATAAAGGATTTAATTTTAATAATTAAATTAATATTATTAATTTTCTAAAATTCAAATGAAAACAATAAATGTATCTAAATCATCTTCATTACTAGATTTAAAAAAAAATAATTGATCTACGAAAATGGCTTAAACTAAAAAAAGAAAATAAAGAAAAAAAATCTACCGGTACTAAGAGAAATTAACAAAGCAAAAATAAAAAAACAACTAAAAATAATAAAACTATTAATGAAGTAACAAGGAGTAAAAACAATTTTAAAAAAATAATTTTCTTACTATTATTGTTATCACACCCGGCTCCGAAGCCATTTAATATGTACGGAGCCACTCCGGGTGCGAATAGTCATTGGCGACCATAGGTACCCGGGTACCTATAGACGCAGCCAATTCAAAAATATTGAATATGTAAATGTAAGCTAGATAGTCACAAAGGGAATTATTCATGAAATTTTTGCACCTTGTATCAGCCAGATTTATGCTCCTTAATAAATATTCCTCCTTTTAAAAGAAATCACTGATTTAATTAATTAATTAAATTTAAACAGACTGTTAGTTAAAAACAAGAAGCATTTAAATGAAAAAATTTGGGAATAGTGAATCTGTTATTTATATAAGACCTTGTTACAACCACTTCTTGTGTAATAACACAGGAACATAATGATTGGTTAATATGAGATAAAGTTTAAAATCTAATTGCCCTCAGAGCCAAGTCCACTGAAACATCTGAATGTGCCATAAAATTATTTGTTTTGTTACCCTGTTTAAGTCACCCTTTGGGCTTTTCAACAGTTGCCTGCCTACACCTGCAGTCTCTGCATCACCGGGTTAAATCAACAGAACCAGTCCACAACCGCTTAGAGACCATAACAACGCTACCACTTGATTCTGGCCGGCAGGTACTGGTTCACAAGGCTCTGGTAGTACGGCCTCAGTTCGTCCACGTCCGGCAGGTCCCCGGTCTTGGTGTACAGGTCAAATTTGTTGAACTCTTTGATCCACGGAATCATCTGCTGGTCCTTGTCATTGGTCAGGTGGGAGTAGGAGCCGCACGAGTGGTACGGGTAGAAGGAGTGAAACCGAATCATGTAGAGGGCTTCCTCAGGTAAGCTGTGTTTGTTCGCCTGTTACCGTAAGGAATTGGGAGTTGGGGTGGAACAGATGTTGTGTTATGTCCAGAAATGGGCAATCATTGAGATATAGGCTGTTCAAATGCAAAGTTATGATTTTTTGCTCCCCTTGCAAACCAAACATTTTCAGCTTTGTTACTAAATGTATCAATTCTATTCATTGTAATAGAAGATGCCAAGGTGTGGAGTGAGAACTGGGCACGCACTGTTCTAGAATATATAGGCTAAATGATCACATTATTCTAGAATATATAGGCTAAATGATCACACTAGTCTAATATATATAGGCTAAATCAGGGGTTCTAAACCTGTGGGTCGCAACCCCCTTTGGGGGTCGACCGACCCTTTCCCAGGGGTCGCCTAAGACCAACGGAAAACACATATACTCTACAGTTATAAAGTAGCAATGAAATTATTTTGTGGTTGGGGGTCGCCACAACATGAACTGTATTAAAGGATCATGCCATTAGGAAGGTTGAGAACCATCGGGCTAAATGATCAAATTAGTCTAGAATATATAGGCTAAATGATCACATTAGATTTATAATTTCAAAGACAAATTATTTGTGTTTAGTTGTGGTCAACTGTCATTTTGGTATTACAATAATTACATCTCCCCAAACAGCTTTCATTGTGGTCAAACTGTCATTTTGGTATTTATCATTTTTTGTATTACCCATTTCATTGTCAATTAATTATTTTAAAGCTCCTGGACCCTTTGAGAGCCACTGACATTTTTTAAGGTTTACATTTCCCATAAAGCAGATCTTTAGTATTAAATCACTGTCTCACCTTCAGCACCCTGTACATGTACTCATCATCTCCAGATAAATAGCCCCCCCCCCCCCCCCCCCACCCCCAAGCACCACTCTACTCTAACCTCCCTGTTAATAAATGACAATCTCACCTTCAGCACCCTGTACATGTACTCATCATGTCCCCACGACATGAGCACATTGTCTAGACCACAGTTTTGTGTGTACATCCCCAACTTGGTGTTGTACTTGGGATTCTGCAGGTCTGGGTTTTTGCTGAAACGATTGGTCACACAAAACATATATACAAATCTCTGTTTTAATCGCTGTGGCTAGAATTTGGGTAGTCTCTGATTTCATTCAGTTTAATTGGGTATTAAAAATTCCACTTGTGGCAATCTGAAATTCAAATTTGTTTTCAAAAAGACCATGCTTATTGGCGGGCATTTATTAAAAGCTACTTAATCAGTCCGGGGGACACCCAGTACACTACTTACCTGAAACTCTCCACACCAAAGACTATGGAGGGCTCTGGGGCACAACCAACAACAAATGTGTCCCCCACGGCTGCCCATTGTGGCTCGCCCCATAACGAGATGATTTTACCAATGTCATGAATCAGACCGGTCAGCTGTTGGAAGGGTCAGTGAAACATAAAAAGATAATAATAAATGTATAGACAATTATTTAAATGAATAAAGATAATAATAGATAGATACTGATGGTTGCATTAAAATACATTAATATTTAATAGATTTCAATTTTTACAATGATCTTTTGAAGGGACGCAATAATAACAGTTACATTTTAACTTTAAACCTCCAGTTACCCCCCTTTAGAGTTTTGAAACTTTTAAAGAAAAAAAAAACAAACAACAAGATAATGATAAAATTGTGAAGTTTTTTTAAAAGCTTTTTTATATTGAGTTTTCATCATGCCAGCGTAGGGAGTCAATGAGATATGAGATTAAAACTGCAGGCGTAACTTGTACACTTGATCTACTTTAATATAGGGAGTGCCTAACTTTTTTCTTTCTTTTTGAGTTCGTTGGGAATGGGATTTGTGGGGTTAGGATTGCGGATGAGGCTTTGTAGAGATGGCGTGGAAACTGTCGTAGTGTGGAATCTCCCTTGTCTAGATTCTAGAAGACCTTGGAGGGACCTGAACTGTTCTTGTAGGCGTAACCAGTGGGGTCATTATGGTTGGGTTTGTGTCACCAAATGGGGTAAACTCGTTTTTCACCGCGCGCCCCACCCCCCCCCCCTGCCCCACGTTTTCTCCATTTCCATACTTCCGGGTGTGCTGCCATCCTGCTCTGGTAGCATCCTGCTGTGGAGAGGGACCTGAACTGTTCTTGTAGGCGTAACCAGTGGGGTCATTATGGTTGGGTTTGTGTCACCAAATGGGGTAAACTCGTTTTTCACCGCGCGCCCCACCCCCCCCCCCCTGCCCCACGTTTTCTCCATTTCCATACTTCCGGGTGTGCTGCCATCCTGCTCTGGTAGCATCCTGCTGTGGTAGCATCCTGACAATCTGTGGCAACAACCTGTTCTGTTGCAACCTGTTGTGGTGGCACCCTGCTCTGTCTGGTGACGCTCTGTACTGTCTGGTGACTCTGGTCTGTCTGGTGGCATGCTTTCATGTCTGGTGGCACTGTGTCTCCGTCTGGTGACACCATGAGTTCTGTTATGAAACCGTTCCAAACAAACTCTGGCAATTTCGGCAATTTTCCAATTTCCATAAGAGAGTGCCACCAGGGGCGATGCGCACCCCCCTTCCCCCCCTGACGCTAATGGGCCTATGTATCCACTGCTCTCACCTAGACTTCAGGGTTCCTGGGTAGGTTTCACTCAGTGGGTATTTGTTGTCTTGAGGATGATAAGTGTGTTTGGGGGGGGGGAAGGGCGGTATCATTTCCAGTCATGGAAACCTACCTGAGTTTTCTGCGGTTATCTTACAAGCGATCACGTGACTTGAACTACGTGGCTGAAGTGAGTCAAGTGACCATTTAAGATAACTCGGATTGTTTTGTTATTCTGTAAGTTGATATTTTTTCCCACAGGTTACTGTACATCAACCCCCCCCCCCCCCACCCCGTAATCCGACTGTCAGGGGTATCAGTAGAAGATAAGCCGAGTGGTGATTTCCTACTTTAAGACATAATGAGACTACCCACATTTCCCACAAACCCTGCCGACGTCCCTATTGAATCCCTATACGTCATTTTTTCTTGGTTAACAAAAATGCCCCCCCCCCCCCGGCCACGTGAAATTAGGACTAAAAATAAGATGCTGCACTTGCATAAACATAATTTAACAAAAGCTCAAACACTTTTATGTGTTGATGTTAATGACATTAAGGGATCTCCCATGGTTATCTTTTTAATGTCAATGACATTGATGGATCTCCATATCATATTATGTCTTTTTCCGTGATGTTATTGAAATTCAGGAAACTGTCTGTCTGGTTCATGTCAATAACATTCAGGGATCTTCTAGTGTTTGGTTGATGTCAATGATAATCAGAGATCGCTATGACTCACCTGAAACCAGGGTTTGTCTGGATGATGTCTCCTGATCCCCTCGGCCGTCTGGTAGGCATGGTAGGAGTTGGGCAGGTCGATGTCAGGGTCGCTCTCATCCACGAGCTCATTCAACTTGTCGAGTATCTCCATGATGCTGTACTCGCCGTGGTCGAATCGTAGCCAGTAGGCCATCCTTTCCTGGGATATTACGGATATAGTACAGTGAGCAACGCAGCGACATATCCTGTGCTATCAGACTCTTTAAATGTTACCTACCCTTGCAAAGTGCCCTGTCTGATTGGTGTAGTTACCTACCCTTACAAAGTCCACTGTATGATTGGCGTAGTTACCTACCCTTGCAAAGTGCACTGTCTGATTGGTGTAGTTACCTACCCTTGCAAAGTGCACTGTCTGATTGGCGTAGTTACCTACCCTTACAAAGTGCCCTGTCTGATTGGTGTAGTTACCTACCCTTACAAAGTCCACTGTCTGATTGGCGTAGTTACCTACCCTTACAAAGTCTACTGTCTGGTTGGTGTGGTTACCTACCCTTACAAAGTCCACTGTCTGATTGGCGTAGTTACCTACCCTTACAAAGTCTACTGTCTGATTGGTGTAGTTACCTACCCTTACAAAGTCTACTGTCTGGTTGGTGTGGATACCTACCCTTACAAAGTCTACTGTCTGATTGGTGTAGTTACCTACCCTTACAAAGTCTACTGTCTGATTGGTGTGGATACCTACCCTTACAAAGTCCACTGTCTGATTGGTGTAGTTACCTACCCTTACAAAGTCTACTGTCTGGTTGGTGTGGTTACCTACCCTTACAAAGTCCACTGTCTGATTGGTGTAGTTACCTACCCTTACAAAGTCCACTGTCTGATTGGCGTAGTTACCTACCCTTACAAAGTCTACTGTCTGGTTGGTGTGGTTACCTACCCTTACAAAGTCCACTGTCTGATTGGCGTAGTTACCTACCCTTACAAAGTCTACTGTCTGATTGGTGTAGTTACCTACCCTTACAAAGTCTACTGTCTGGTTGGTGTGGATACCTACCCTTACAAAGTCTACTGTCTGATTGGTGTAGTTACCTACCCTTACAAAGTCTACTGTCTGATTGGTGTGGATACCTACCCTTACAAAGTCCACTGTCTGATTGGTGTAGTTACCTACCCTTACAAAGTCTGCTGTCTGGTTGGTGTGGTTACCTACCCTTACAAAGTCCACTGTCTGATTGGTATGCATCAAGTCATACGTCTTGACGACTCTCTCCGGGACATTGTGAATACGGAAATCCCTGAAAGCATTGGCGTCCCGGTGTTCCGGTCGGTACTCTGACGGGTCCTGAAGGACCAACTTTGTGAGATGAGCAGTCTGTGCTGCCGCCATTGTCCTCTTTCTTCAAGATTCTTCTATGCAAACAATTGAACACAAATAGACAATTATCATTCAAAATGTCATATCAAGATAAACAACAAGAAGAAGACAATTTTTGGAGGTTCCTAATCATGTTTTAATAATATAGTTTAATAAATTATATAATAAAGGTTAGAAATATCGTTCAACACTCGTATTATCTTGTTATCTTTACCCTCGGCCCCTTCCTCCAAGACAACGGTAGCACGGGCGGGCGCAGGCAAGGAAGCACTGTATATCATCCAGTATAGTTTTCTGTTGCATATATTATAATGACATTGCGCTGCTAAAAATAAAAAAAAAATAAAAAATAAAATAATAATTACATCATTACCGGAAGATATTTCTAATCTTTTATATAATTTTGGCATGTCCTAAGAATCTCATCATAGGCTCAGGTGTAGCACTGCTACAACTTTGGGCTGAGCATATTTGAACGTCTACTCATAAATCTAACCACCGCCAGCATTCGCGACTCCGTCGTCCATTCGCGATCTTCTTATGAACTATATTTTCACACAGAACATCAATTCAAACTTGAAATATCTACGGCATAAGTAAAATAATGTAAGCACTTACATGTCCAGCTTTTGCTGAGGTTCCACGTGTGAATGGCGGACGACTTCTGCTTTCATTTCAGCGTTATCTTTCGGTTGGAATGTCCTTGACAAATTTCGTTGAAATTTTCGAAGGTTATTCGATGGATGTCAAACCCAGGGTCGGCGTGTTGGGGGATGGGGTGCTGGGAGATCGGGTGCTGGGAGATGGGGTGTTGGGAGATGGGGTTTTGGGAGATGGGGTGTTGGGGGATGGGGTTGTTTCAATGAGGGGTGGATGGTGTTAGGGGATGGGGTTGTTTCAATGAGGGGTGTTGGGAGCTGTTATGTTGCGAGCGGTGGTGTTGCGAGCTGTGGTGTTGGGAGCTGTGGTGTTGGGAACTGTGGTGTTGCGAGCTGTGGTGTTGGGAGCTGTTGTGTTGGAAGCTGTGGTGTTGCGAGCTGTGGTGTTGGGAGCTGTGGTGTTGTGAGCTGTGGTGTTGGGAGCTGTGGTGTTGGGAACTGTGGTGTTAGTGGTGTTGGGGGCGGTGGTGTTGCGAGCTGTGGTGTTGGTAGCTGTGGTGTTGGGAGCTGTGGTGTTGCGAGCTGTGGTGTTGGGAGCTGTGGTGTTGTGAGCTGTGGTGTTGGGAGCTGTGGTGTTGGGAACTGTGGTGTTGCGAGCTGTGGTGTTGGGAGCTGTGGTGTTGGGAGCTGTGGTGTTGCGAGCTGTGGTGTTGCAAGCTGTGGTGTTGGATTGGAGGAAAGATAGGCGGAGCGTAATCTGGACGGGGCATTTAGATAGGCCAGTGGTCGGCAGATCGTGGCTCGCGAGCCACATGCTGCTCTCAAGCGACCTGAGTGCGGCTCGGCCAGTCGGCAACCAACCGGTTTTGACTCCGAAAAACATGGTTCTTGAAAAGAATTTGGCTATCAAAATTTTTTTAATCCTCCTGCTGCTGATTTTGTGACCCTTTTGGCTAATGAGTTTGCTGACCACTGAGATAGGCGGAGAATAATCTGGACGTGGCATTAAGATAGACGGAGCGTAATCTGGACGTGAAATTAAGATAGGCGGGGCGTAATCTGGACGTGGCATTAAGATAGGGAGGGGGGGGGGGGGTAATCTGGACGTGAAATTAAGATAGGCGGGGCGTAATCTGGACGTGGCATTAAGATAGGTTTACAATAATGCCACTTATGGTTCTGGTAAAGGCTATAAATTTTCGTCAGTGATTACCGGCCAAAAATCTCATGAATCAGATGGCGCAGTCAGTCCATTTGGTTATCATTAACACACACTATCGCTAATGTCCGTTGTCGAATCTGAGGGGATTGAAACACACAGCTCATGGCTTTACCATTTAAACGGTTGCCGGAAATCTGTTCGAAAGAATTTAGTTCGAAGGAAAATTGCATTATTGACTTTTGCTTGACTGGGGAAAAAAATTTGGGGGGGGGGGGAAATGGAGAAAATTTTAAAAATTTTTATTAAAAAGTAAAAAGAGCCCCCATTTAAAACTCGAACCTTCCATTAAAAATAATTTTAAAAAAAAAATAAAAAAACACACAAAAAAAAA